TATTGGCCGTGACTGGCAGTCCTTAGGTAGAGAATTGAAGTTTCCCAAAACTACCCTGGATGATATTTCAGATGACAAAAGCAACCATACTAACAAAGACAAAGCCCATGCTTTGCTTATCAAGTTCATGCAACAACATGGAAGTGATGCAACCAAAGCCTGTCTGGCGGAAGCATTGTTCAAAATAGAAAGGCGAGACATTGCTGAAAACCTCATAGGTAAGATGATAGATGATATTCTTTCGTTTTTTCGTTCTTCCATTCGTTCTTTTGATTGTTCTTTCATGTGGTTCAGCATTTATTCGTTTGTGCGTTCGTTCACTCGCTCATTGTATGCTTGTTTCCTTGTTTGTTTTTTATCATTCCTCCCTCCTTCCCTCCCTTCCTTCCCATCTTTGTTGGTTTGTTGTTTTAATAGACCTCTTCGGCTCTGACGTAATGTTTTCCCATTTCAGACCACATGTCATTCCCTATAGTATCATTTTGTTTAAGGTTTGCTCGGTTGCACATGACAAGACACATGTATATGGATACAGCTCAAACAAAGAACATTATTCTCAAGGGAATGACACGTGGTCTGAAATGGGAAAACATTACCCCAAGCCGAAGAGGTCCATTTGATTTGATTTGATTCATCGCTCTTCCCCTCCATCTTTGTTAACTTAGTTTGTTTGATATTTGATATCTGCCTTTTTGTTGACAATGTTTTGTTTATTTGTTTGTTCCTTCGTTTGCCATTGATTTTTTCCCTTGCTTGCAATTTATCTATTCATTAACGAATCATTTATGTCTAATATCAAGGCAATGAGCATTTTACTAGTAAAACATCGCACGAACAGATATTCTTATTTAAAGAGGAAGGAAGCTTTAAAATCCCTGGTGAAAATGGACAGGTAAGTTAAGTATAATAAAGTAACCACCACCACCACCACTACTATGCGCCCAGGGAAATGTCAAGGAAAATATATGATTGGTATAATTGTCGGCATAAGGCGATTATAATTGACCCAAACCTGATTGATGATCCCCTTGCATGCAGGATGTAAGATTCCTCACATGTCGGAACATCCAGAATGGCAAGTTGTACCTTGTAAGGGAGCTGACTGGGACGAAATACGAAGAATCCTGCAAAGCATTGAAGCAACAGGACTCTATTGCCGATTCCATCCTAAGTTCCCTTGATGTCCACGGTATCGTGGAGGAAGAAAGACAGAAAAAGGAAAACCAAAAGTTTAAAGAGGCCCAAGACAAGATAACGGAGCTCCTAAAAAATTGTCANGCCGATTCCATCCTAAGTTCCCTTGATGTCCACGGTATCGTGGATGAAGAAAGAAGAAAAAATGAAAACCAAAAGTTTAAAGAGGCCCAAGACAAGATAACGGAGCTCCTAAAAAATTGTCAGGAGCTAACCAACCGCATTCAAAACCAGGAGAGAAATGAGAAAGAAGTCTTACAACAGTTACATGAAGAAAAGACATCTCTTGCAGAAATGCAGAGGCTAGGTACAGGTTTGCTGCAGTTAACTGGCATTGTCTCACATTTGAAGGACCCATTTCCTCTTCAGGCGCAGATGTACAGCTTTTCTCTCGGGCTGCGTGCGATACTCAAAGACTTGCAGGAGAGAGTGAAGGTTCTGAAAGAAATGGCTCCCAGGTAAATAAATAGGGGATAAATATTCACTTGATAAAGGTACTTTTAGGTATACAATTTAGTAAGAAACGTTGTCTTTTACAACTAGTTTTCTTACTAGATTAGATAAATATTCAGTTTTCGAAACCTCCTACTCACCGGCGGTTAAAAACATTTTTAAAAAAGCTGCACTTTTCTGCTTTGTCATACGTATACAAAAAATTACTGCAATTCGCATTTTATGATGGAAATAATAAAAAATTGCTTGCTGTGTTGTGTAGTTATAATAAAGCACTTGGGGCTTGGCTCGATAAAACTCGATAACACTTTATACATGGGTCTTTAAACTTACAAAACTGTATGAAATAAAAATGAATAAATAAAGTTGAGATCAGTGTTGAAAAGCAATCTACTACGAGTTTTGCTTCTCCTAACAATTCTCTCGTTCTCTGCCAATCCCCGCGTGTTTCATAACTGTGCACGGCTCGCCGGCGGTTCCGACTTCTTATTTTCTTCAATAAATCTATGGCTTTTTTCTTTAGCGGCGAAACTRAAGGAATTGAGAAAGTGCTAAACCAATGTCGAAACCTGAGTAAGGAAATCCAAATGAAAGAAAACCGTTTTTTAAAACTCTCCAAGGCGGATAATCTTGAAGGCCAACAGGTAAGATGAAGGAATRGTGCATCTTTGTAAGGTAGAGGGGTTAGATAGAGATTTAGTCCAGCTAATAATGCAAACAGCAATAATGTACTGGTTGTTTGAAATTCCACTTTATCTCATATTATAAATTGCCGTTATAAATCTCGCATTCTAATTGGCCTGTGCATTCAGAAATGTATGCAGATGGGAGGCTGGTTAGCGCGCAGGAAGCTTCCCTTTGCTTCAGTAGCAGCGTTCCGCGTGTATAACTGATATTGATTCTCTTTAGCGTCYTCGAGATGAGTGCTCGCCCTCTGCTCCGCAACCAAGAACGAGTGGGTATCCTGTGGATGTTCCTGAAGTTAGGGTGAGTGCTCTTATTAAACCCGTA